TATGGCTGTTCATTATTTTTGTTATTTTCTCGCCTGGTCCATTATACTCCTGCTATGAGTGAAACCATCCGGTATTTGTCTTTCTCTTTCTGGCTTATCTCACTAAGCATGATCTTTTCCAGCTAAATAAATAAGCCTTTTTAAAAACGATACCATCCTCTCCATTTCTCAGTCCTTTTTCCTTTAGGTACCCTCTATTGTGTAATCATTTTATTTTTACTCCTTTTCTGCCCATCTTCCTCAGTAGACTGTTTTGTTCTTCAGAGCCTAGCATGATGCAAGGTTCCAAATGAGCCTATTCAGCTGCTGACTAAAGGAAGGTGTGCAGCCACCACCCGGGCTCCTGGCCACCTACAGAGGAACAAGTGTACAGAGGCCCAGGCCCAGGCTGGACTGCACCTGCCCGGCGGGCCGGGGGGCCAGCCCTCTGTGAGGCTCATACCCACAGACTCTTCTGTTTGCTCACATTTGGGGTCCAGTACTGGCTCCTCTGGGGTCTTCACACTGTTGATGGGTCTCCCTGCAAGGACATAGGAACTAGGCCTCCAGAGGCAGCTGTCCACTCCCTGACTCAGCACCCACTTTCTGAACTGGCACCCTGTATCTGGATGCTGGGATTAGAACAATGAATCAGCAGGGACCTTGTATTTCAGGGACCCATAGCTTAGGTAAGGGGAGGGGAAGAGCATGCAAATTGAAATGACAATACAGTGCAGTAAAAATACTGATAGAAATGTTAGGATAGAAAAGTTCAGAGGAAACCCAGAGGGGACAGTTTTTTGCTCTGACCAGGGGGTTCAGGAAGCCCTCCGTAGAAGAGGGCTTTGATTTGGATTTTGAAGAATATATAGGTGTTCACCAGCTCACTGGTGAAAGGCAGGACTGGACTTCTAGACAGAAAGTAAACCCGAAGTCACGGAGAACCCTGAGGGCACTTTGGGATTTAGAAAGTCTGGGTTTCGCGTGAAAGAAGATGGGCTTGTATTTACTTGGGTGGGTCTTGATTCCAGACCTGGGAATTTGAAAGGGGCTTTAAGGCAGTGTGAGCACCGGAGGCTTTTAGGCAGATACGCTTGGAGCTGTGCTTCAGGAAAGTCACCCCAGGACTTCACAGAGGAAGAGGGGTGGTGTGTGTGTGTGTTTGTGAGAGAGAGAGAGATGGGGGGGGGGCTGTTTCTACCCCCTCCACTCCTGTCCTGCATCATGTGGCTGCTAGCTGGGCCTCCCTCTCTCTCTCCAGGTGCGTGAGGACTGGAAGTATGTCGCCATGGTGATCGATCGTCTGTTCCTCTGGATCTTTGTCTTCGTCTGTGTCTTTGGCACCATCGGCATGTTCCTGCAGCCTCTCTTCCAGAACTACACCACTGCTACCCTCCTCTACACAGGCCACTCAACCCCCAGGTCCAAATGAGGGCTCCCCAGCTCCGTGCTCCTTTCTCCCTTTGCCCTCTGGGTGGAGGGGGGATAAGCGAGCTACCAGGACGAGGGGCTCTGCCTCCAGAAATCCATGCATTTACTTCACATGGACCGTTATTCCCACACCTTCCCCAGTCCCACGATCAGGAGGTTGGCCCGGCAGCAGGAGTTTCGGCAGCTCTCCTCTTGTGTCAGCCTGAGCAGCAGTGTTGATGGTGGAGGATGAAGGCTGAGAAATGGAGGATAGAAAAGCCTTCCACCTGGAGGAAAGCGTGATGGGGTTGGGGCCAAGGAAGGGAGGAGCCGAAGCAAGGAGGCCTGGGGTGCCCTGATTAGCCTCGCTGGAGAGCAGCTGGCTGGGTGCTCTGCAGCAGGCGGGGGCGTGTGTCCAGAGGGTCAGGCTGGCGCAGTGATCACAATTCTGCAGGTAGGTTCCCCTCCCAGTCCAGCAGCCCCTTCTTCTAAGGGGTCCAGCCCCAGGTGAAGACTTCTCTGACCTCCTGGACTTCCCTCTCCTTCCTTTCTCGCTTGGACTATGGTGGTGAGCAAAGCCTGGTATTGGGAAGAATCTGAGTCTGGGAGTCCTGCTGAGAGCCCGAGAGGCAAGTATTAGCATATGCGGGAAGGGCAAGTTCAGACACTGTTGTCCCAGTTGAAACATAGGTGCTTTGGAGTGAGGTGTCAGCCCCAAGCAGACCCAGCCCCTGGGCAGTAGCAAGCAGGCAGGTCAGTGGAGTCCTGCGGAGCAAGAAGACCGTAGCCGCTCCTGCTCTGTCCAGCTGGCCTGCTTCCCTTCTCCAGCTTCCGCCCCGCCTCTCCTCTTCCCAGCCGAACCTGAACAGTTTGAGCAGAACTTTAGCAGGACAGGTTTGCTGCTGCCAGTGGCTCCCCAGAAAGCCTCCCTGGCCTGTGGGCACCTGGAGTCTGTCTCCTGCCCAAGGCTTCCCTAGCTGGGCTGGAGGCCACCTGGCCAGTTAGCAGGAAACAGTTTTCAGGCCTCTCCTGCTTCCCCAGCCCCCAGTGACTGGTTCTGATTTACGGCCCCAGCCTGTACTCCGGGGGCCAGCCACAGAGGGGCCAGCCTGCCAGCTGCCCACAAAGGTCTGCCCGACAGAGAGCAGCTGGACCCTGCTTCTCCAGGTAGGGTGGCGGGGTGATGGGGCCAATGGTAGGGGGAGGCACAAGGGGAGGCCAGGAGCCTGGCCAGGGGTCTGGTCTGTGTCCTAGTCCCAGCTCTGCCACTTCCTGGTAAGTGAGTAAGTCTCTGTTGGTCTGCGCCTCAGCTTCCTCATCTGTAAAGTGGGGACGATAGTGCCCTCTTCCTGGAGAAGCTAAGAAGAAGAAGGGGTATTTTGGGAAAACCTCGGGCTGTTCCTGGCAGCTCAGATGCTTCGTGGACAGATGCTTCATGGACTTCAGGTCTTAGAGGCAGTTGGAGCAGGAGCTCCATGTCATTGTGCTAATCCTTACCTTCCATCTATGGGAAGGAAGCCAAGTCCCCTGAACAGGGCCTGGGTTCAGGGTGTGTGGGGGCGGGGGAGTTGGGCAGACACATCACGGGGGTTGCTTGGGTCAGTGACAGGTGGGTGAGCTTCTTCCTGGAGCCCCCTGAGCACTGCCCTGCCCCTGCTGGGCAGCTGTGTGTTCAGGGCTTGGCTGACCCAGTTCTGTCCTGGCCTATCCCGCTCGAACGAGCTGTTGTGTGAGAAGTGGCCTAGCCCCGAAGGGGCTCATGGGCCTCACTTCTGAGAGGGGTTGTTGGCCCTGTAGAGACTTCCTTTTTCTAGAATGGCAAATTCAGAGTTACTGTGTCATGCCTGGATCCACCTCAAGCTCTGGGGCAACCTCCAGGAGCTGAAACAGCAACTAGAAAAGGATGCTCCTTCTGAGGGCTCCTGGAGGCCCCTGGCACTCCCTAGATGTCTCACCAGGGCCCAGGGCCCCTGGGGAGCCACTGCCAGCTCTCCTGTGGCCAACATATCCTGAAATTGGCTGTGGCGAGTCACCAGAAGGTGCTGGAAGTGATGTCACACAGCAACTCCTCCCTGTGACCCATCTGTCACAAGGACATTGAGGCCTGGAGGTTGTTTGCTGCCTGGCCTGTTCCCAGCGCTTCGCCTGAACTTGCTCATCTTCATCTAGGAGGGTAACACAGCTGGCCAAGGGCCACAGAGAAGAAGGGAGTGAAGTGCATATCCCAGGGGCACATCCACTGGGCAGCTTCCTGGGGCAATACCATTCCCTCCAACTCTGGGAGCTGCCCTTCAGGGGCCATCCCAACAGGAAGAGGGCAAAGTTGGGGGATGGAGGCCCTATTGCAAGGCTCTCCATGTGCAGCACAGATGGGGTTCCCCAAAGCCCTGGGGAGCTTTGCAAAGACCTCAATGTCACTCTTGGGCCCTCTGTCTTCCTTGCTGGGGTCAGGGCAGCTCCCTGCCCCCTGCCATGTTGGGGCATCTCTGGAGAGGCATCCACGCAGCGCTGAGTGAAGCTTGGAGGCCCCAGATGTAGAAGCACTGGACTGAAACCGAGTGAGGTGGCCTTGGAGGGGGCAGTGAGGAAGTGAATTGGGCTTGCTTCCATCAGCGAGGGCAAGGCCGACCTGAGAACCACTTTTGTCTAAAAAGCGGTACATGTAGATTGAAGACTAACATTGCAGCAAGAGGCGCCCGGTCTCCTGATGGTGAGGTGTCTCATGATAAACCATCTGGCACTAAGTTACTGAAAATTTAAAAGCAAACAAGACATGGGCACCCCTGCATCTGGCATTTACTGTGGAGGAAGGCTGGCATTTCCCTCGGAAGAAAGGTGATGGGCTAGAAGATTTGGAGGGTTTGCCAACACCAGTCATCAGCCACTGGTTAACAATGTCACTTGCTTTATTCCCCACAAGAAGGGGCCTCTGTTGACAAGACAAAATGGGGCTCAAGAGAGGTGGACTGACAGCTGGTGAGCAGTGCTGGGCCTGAGACCTGGGGTGATCCAAGTCCAGGCTGTCACTGCCATGAAGGCAGGAGAGCATCTTGGGAAGGGAGTCAGGGGCACTCTGGGTCTTCCCTGAATTCATTGTTCAAGTGCACTCGCCTCCAGTGCTTACCTCCACGCTGGTTGTCAGCACCCTCACAATGCACGGTGCTGGTCAGCCACCTGCATGGACTGGGCAGCCAAGTGGCACCTTCTGTTCCCCACCCCCATATTTCTGAGAGGTCAGTGTGCCTCATGGTTCCTAAGGATTGTAGATCTAGGGGTTATTAGAATACCTTACACCACCACCTTACCCCCCCCCCCCCCCCACCCCCACAATGGCCTTGGCCTCCCTTATCTGAACTGGAATGTTCACACTGGCCTAGCGCATTCCAGGTCCCACTCATTAGCAATTCAAGTCTTGTAAAGAAAGTTTTCAAAGACATCTGGTCTCTCTGTCATATTTGGAGTCGGGGAAACCCTCACAGGCCAAAGTTGGCAAATAGTGGGGAGAAGGGAGGATGCTGCGAAGCTGGATTCATGAGAGGTTACAGACATTACAAGAATCTAAAGGGAACGAATTGCTGTGACTCATGGATTTCTAAGTTCATTCATCAAGTGCAAAAGAAGTGGTCGGGCCTAGAGTAGACAGAGCCCAGACACAGCTGCTGGGGAGATGACAGGGCGGAAGTGACGAACGGTCTCTTGGGGGCAAGAGTGCTGGGCACCCTGCCTCAGTGCCTGCCAATCTGGAAAGCCAGGCTGAAGGCTGCTTCCAGAACTCTGGTTTCATCAGGCTCAGTTCCTGGGAGCAGTATTAATTGTGGGTGTGCTAGATGAATGGCAGGGCCAGCCAACAGCCCCTGAAGTGGTGAGGGGAAAATTCTGCCGTGCTCAGCTGGCAGGGCAGCCCTGCCTCCCCGGCACATGGCAAACTGGAGTCTTATTCCCTCTGCAGAATCTGGCACTTGCCTTAGGCATGAAGGAAAACTGTCCACTTTCGAAAAGGCCTGGATACTACAGTTCCTTCCTGGTAGTACCAGGAGATGCCAAAGCACAAGGGCAGAGGTGCTGGAGGGCCCTGGCCCATCACGGTAGGCAGGTCTCTGAAAACTGTGCAGCCCTGTATTGAGACTGCACAGTGCCCAACCAGACAAGGTTCTCTTTATCCCTAGAGGGCTCCAAACATGCCCTCTGTTGTGCCATCTGTGTAGGGGTTGAGGAAAGGCTGCATTAGGGTTCAAGATGACCTCACTGTCAGGGATCATCCTTGGCAGGCCATTATTTTTAAAAGGTCAAGAGGTTTTTTTTTGTTTTGTTTTGTTTTTGAGAATTTCAGAATGTTGACTTTATTTGTAAATATTTTCCCTACGCATCTTAGTTCAAGAATACATATACTGAATTACAATGTAAAAGTAACATTTCTCATTGTGGGTTATAGTCAGAAGGTTGGGGAACATTCTGACATTTCATCTCTCATCTGTTTCTGAGCCATCCTTTTTAGTCAACAAGGATTTTGTGTCCTATTTTGGCTATTGTAGACTCTGAATAGATGGTCTCTGGTTTGTTCTGATTATTTGCTTTCATCACTGAGTTATTTTTTTTATTTTACTTTTTTTTTATTGCAAAAGTTTATTTTAAGTTAGTTTTTAAAAGATTTATTTATTGGGCCCTTCCTGGTGGTGCAGTGGATTGGAGCACTGCACCGCAAAGCCAAGCCAAGCTGTGGCTGCTTCAGTGCAAGTTCGATCCCCGCCCTGGAAGTGACCCACATGGCGCGGCAGACCTCTCCTGTCGCCTGCTGCTCCCCTCAGCAGTGTACTTTGTTGATCTGCCCGTTCTGTTTCCCACTCTGTTTCTGGTGAATCCTCTCACCACCCCTGCACCTCTGGCTGTACCCCATTTCTGTATGCATAAACAAATCTTTTTAAAAAAGATTTATGCAGGCCAGAGGTATGGGAGTGAGGGACAGAGTGGGGAAAACAGGCCTATCAGTGAAATACATCGTGAGGGAGCAGTGGGCAAGACAGGAGAGGTCTGCCATGCCATGTGGGTCACCTCCTTGCCGGGACTGAACTGCTGCAGTGGCTGCAGCTAGCTTCATAGTGCTGTGCTTTAACCCATAGTGGGTGCTTTAACCCACTGCATCAATAGGGTGGGCCCAAGAGAGTTCTTTTAGACATTCTGGATTAAATTGTCATGTGGAATGCAGTATATTATTATTATTTTTTTTAAAAGATTTTTTTTTAATGTATGCAAGAACTGGGGTATAGGCCAGAGGTGTGGTGGGTGAGTCACCAGAGACAGAGTGGGGGGCAGACCAGGCAGATGTAGTGAAGTACACTGCTGAGGGGAGCAGCGGGTGAGACAGGAGAGGTCTGCTGTGCCATGTGGGTCACCTCTCTGGACGGGAATCAAACTCATACTGTAGTGGCTGTGGGCAGTTTCACAGTGCTGTGCTTTACTTGTTGCGCCACCAGGGAGGGCCCGAATGTGGCATATTCTTTAAGTAATTTGAGATGGAGGAATATTCTGGATGCCATCTATATAGTAAAAAGCAAATGGCCATCTTGTCCTGGTTCAGGATGCAAACTTTATTCCAAATAAACACATCTGTGCAGGCAAAACAGCTGGGGGCTGGGGTGATGTAGAAAAACAGCCCTCTACAAGAGCTGGAATTACATGTATAATTTTGCTTCAGGGGCTATTTCCCTACTCCAGGTCTTGAAATCTTGTGTGTCCAGTCTCTAGGAAAGGTACTTAACTTAATGGTGGGCACGGATGGGGAGGGGTGCCTGGTGCCTGCCCAGACACAGGCTCACCTGCCAGGGTAGCCTTTCAGACTGCACCTATCTGCAGCAGAGGGACGAGCCTCCCCTGGTGTTACATGCAGTGGGCACTATGACCAGCAGCCCTGTTGCCCCCACCCCCGACCTTCTCCAAGAAACCAAGACTTGAAACTTTCTAAGAATTCAGATTTTTTTTTAAATTTTATTTATGAGGAATGTATTTTTAATCATTTGTCAAGGGACACATAAAAGCAGAATCATAAAACTGACTGCAGCCACCATGGAGCTCAAGTCCGCACTTGGGCTCTTCCCCGCTTGCTCATGGAGTCAATACGAAACTCCAAAACCAGCAAGGTCCCTTCAACGTGAGTAAAAGGAAATAGCTTCAAGCAGCGACGATTCTTACAAGTGATTATTCAAAGAATGCACAATAGCTACAGTCCAGACAAATCAACTACAAAGATCATTTAAAAAAAAAAAAAGGACAGGTTAAGAGTCCTGTCATTAATAAAACAAAGGCTCGACAAGTAAGTGAAGGGAACACTCCGGGGGAGCACTGTCCTGTGAGACTCGGGGTGGGGGAGGGGGCCGTGCAGGGCCCAACACAGGCTTGTTTCCAGCAGACACTGGGGTGCGGGGTGCCTCGCTCTCTTCCTGCAGCAGAAGTGGAATACTGCAAGTCTGCCAGGAGAGACCTCGGGCGAGTCAGGACTCCGGTCCCTGGGGAGCCCCTAGGCCCCCGGTTAAAGAGGCCACTGAGTCAGCTCTGCGGGAGTTTCTAATGCCCAAGATGAACTGGAGGGGCCAAGCACCCCGCTCAAGCAGGATGTGGGAGACCCTCCAGCCCGAAGAGCCGGGGAGTGAGCTGCCTTCCTGAGCAGGGCTGACTCATGAGCCTTGGGTGCGCGCAGGGCCGGCGGGCAGGGCTTTCCACCCAGGAGTCAGGCATGTCTCCCTGCCTACTAGTTCCTTGGGACACTTTGGTGTTCCACAAAGACATCCATCGCATGTATTTAACAACTTGGATTTTCTTAATTTGTTCAATTTTTGGTCAAAAGGACAGAGGGAACAGTAGCCACTAGAGTAAAAGTGCAAATGTGGATGTGTCTGCTGTGGAAGCGTGGGGTCGGAGAGTTAACTAGTCAGTGGGTACGGGGCGCAGGGGAATGGAAATCATCTGAGGGTGCTGGCTCAGCATGTTCACAGAGAGAGGAATCATCGAGAGGAAGGAGGCAGGCTCAGGCCTGGAGGTGGCAGGGCCTCTGTACTGCTCTCGAGCACATCTGGCCACAGTCAGTCCAGGGCCAGACTCCACAGAGGGGCTGAAGGCTCTGCCCACAGGAGTCAAGCTGAGGTGTAGACAAGGGTCGCACCTCACAAAGTTTTAAGACAATCTGCCATTTTACCTACAACTAGTGTCAACCCTATAACGACTCCCTAACTGTCAGAGAGACCTCAGGTCCCACCTACCCACAAATAACCTTCTGAAGCTATCTGGCAAAACAAAAGCACCTGGATAAACCATCTGAATTTAAATCTGCAATGACAGGTTATCAGCAGTTCAGAACCAGGACTTATGGACTCCTAATTTACCCATGATTTAGTTAACTTCCCTTGGTGTCACTGTCATCAGAAATACGCTGGGTGAACAGTGATCTCAGTCAACATGATTTTTTGTCGTCTTTCTTGCCAAGTCCTGATTATCTGAGCAGAGACGATTTGCCCTCCAGGAACTGTCCTGGGTTTTCTCCTACCTGTGGGTGGAGTCTGTGGCCCCACTTCCCTCTCCTCCACCCCTAGTCCCCCAGGACAAACTCTTTGAAATGCTTCAGGGGGAGAGGCAGTTAGGAGCTAGGCAATATTCCAAGACATGCCTGCATTCCCAGGGCCTGTCCGGCCACCCCGCGGGGAGCCACCTTGCGCACTGCCTGGCAGGTGAGCAGGCGGGCCTAGCCTTTCGCAGCCTGGGGGAGGGCCTTGCTGCCCATGGCCGTGTTTCCGCTCTCAGCTCCCCCCACGCTGGCTAAAGTGCAAGATCCGAAGGTCACTGAGTATTACCTGCAGCTCCCAGTCACTTGGCACCAGTAACGAGCTAACTGCGGCTTCACTCTCCTGCCCTTTCAAATGTTTCACCAAGTTCATTAAGTTCCCTTATCCCCCATCTTGGAGGAAAAGGAGAAACATACTGACCACCAGAAGGAATCTCAGAAAGGGAGGAGGGGAAGCAGAGGGGCCTGCAGAATCCACAAATGAAATCACCAGTCCCTGACATGATTCAGAGTCAACTGGAACCTAATCGAGACCACAAGAGGTCAGTGTGGCAAACACAAAAGGAAAGGAAATGGAAAACACTAGAACAGAACAGAAGAGGGAGAGTGGGCTGCAGGCGCTCGGTGACTGCTTAAGCTTTGGGTGGAAAGGAACGAGAGCCCTCTTTTTTTTTCCCCCTTAGGTCTCGACCTCTGATCTCTTGGCTTGGGAAAAGAAAAGGGGCTGCCTAGAGCTGGCCTAGTATCCCCAAAGAAAGCAGGATAAACAGGAACTCAGTCTTCAGGATCACCAATTATGGTTCCATTAAAAAAAAAGAAAAAAGAAAAAGAAAGAAAAAGAAAAAAAGGAAACCCCCCCCCGACTGACCTACCTCTCATCCCAGTGTGAAACACCCCGCCCCAGTTACTGGCTCACACTATACTGGGCAGAGGTAAAAATTCTTTTCCTCCTGGGGTTTGCTTATCCAGTTCCCATAGCCCATGTCCTTCAGGCTCTTTTTGAAGTAGTTCTTGGCTATCTCGTAGTCACGGGCAGCTTTCTTGGCCTCACCATAGGAGAGTTTAAGTAGATCTCTGCGGTACCGGAAGGAGCAGAGCTTCTTAAATAGAAGAAAAATGTTCTTTTTGGAGACCCGGGACAACTCATTTCGTGGCCTGGAAAAACAAAGCCCTCATTATTCCCGTAGGATAGAGAGGGCTCAGGGCTCAGGGTGGACACTGCTAGGTGGGCGCCCTCCAGCTGGGGAGAGCAGCAATCTGGAAGCCCGTGCCTCACCCGTCCACTGTGCCCCTGGTCCCATCCAGGATCTCCAGGTCGTAGCCGTCGGCCAGACACCAGTTGACGCTCGTCTCCTTGGTCTTCCCAGATTGCCTTTTGGAATCATATACACTGACTCGGCCGACCTAGGAAGCCCAGGAGCAGTGTGAGAAAAGGGAAACCTTTCAGGACAGATTCTAAAGTAGGGACTCAGGAATCATGGGAAAGGGGGGCGGGGGACCAGGATCCTCCCTGGTTGGGTTTCTGTCTGGTTAAGACTCCAGACATGCTAACCCAACCATTTAACTGAATTCCAGACTTAAAGGAGGAAAGCCCTCAGCATGCAAAGAGGGGGTGGGATGAGACCCCAGACGCCAACTAAGCTCCTCCCGCCCACAGTGTACATGTTGGCTTTGCTGACAGGACTGTCTGAAAAGGAGAAAATGTTTACAGCAAAAAGGATGGGGGTACAGCACCTTGGGGTGGTTGACAACAAAGGGATGTCGGAGTCCGTCCTGAAATGAATTCCCGTCTCTTGTCACACGGCAGCAAATAGCACGAGTCAGATGCCCTTGGCTGAAAAGGTAACCTGGATATGAAACAGAAGGGTCTGCTTGTGTCGGCACCAAATGCCGTCGGCGGAGACACATGGGGGGGTTCAAAGTGCAAAACAGTTGTCGAAACAGAGGAGCCAGTGCCTGTTCTGAAGCACCTTCTGACTGAGGGGGCCCATATGTCCTGGCATCACCGAGCACGTAAGCGCAGGCATGGGTCCAGGTGAGGCCGGGGCTGCTGAGAAGCGCTGTGCTAAGCTCCAGGCTTCTCTAGCTCATTTCAAGAGGTGAGCCCGGTGTGTCGGTGGACAGACTGGCTGCCTCAGCCCCCCTCCCAGCCTCTCAGGATCAGCCCCTGAGCACTGAGTCAAGCTCTCTGTGAAGAGGGAGGACATCCTGCTGCTGTCGGCTCAGCCTGCAGCTGGCTGGGACCCTGGCACTAGAACAACTGATGCCGGGTCACTTACCTAGTGTGACAGACTTGAGATATACCGGCTGCAGGAAGTGGGTCAACAGTGCCCCTTGCAGGCCGAGCACATTCCAGCGTAGGATCTTGTCGCTACAGGACATGGTGCGAAGTCTCTCCCCGAGCCGAATGCCATCCCACGTAGGCACGATGTCACTGGACTCCACTGGGATGGTGCCCTCCCCTGGGGGTGAACCCTGGTCAGACCCACGGAGGCCCCTTGCCCAGCAGCGCCTTGGGAGGGTGTTAATGCGCCTCAGACTTGGGCCACTGGCTACTCAGGCCTGTTTTCATAGGACCTACAATGTGCTGGTACTGTACTTGGTGCTGGAAATGAAGGGGAGCCAAACCAGTAAGACATGGTCCTCCTGCAACAGCATGGCGGCGTGGGGATAAAAAGGGAACGGCAAGACCCGAAACAAACAAAGCAATGCGTGTGTAAGAATTCTAAATGGAAAAAGAAAAAAAGTTCCAAATGGTAGCAGGACTCTGATGGCTTTGAGGGAGCTGCGCAGGGCAGCCAGAGGAAGCTCTTGGGATAGAACAAGCACGAGTGCTGAGCACTGAAGGAAGAACTGTGCAAGGGTGTCTCAGACACGGAACAGCAGAGGCAAAGGCCCCGAGGCAGCAAGGGGTCTCGCGCCACAGGGGGCAGATGCAGCAGTGTGACTGAAGCACATGTAAGCATGCAGCCTTTGCTTCTTTATCAGTAAGTTGGGAACTGCTACACACAAGCGTTTTTGTGTTTAACGACTCTACTGAGATCCAATTTACCCACGTAAAACACATAATCAGATGGCTTGAGTTGTGCAACCATCACCACAGAGTTGTGCAGCCATCACTAAGCCCAACACTAGAACATTTCACCATCCCCCAAATAAGCCTTCTATCCATTACAGTCATGCCCCGCTTCTCCCCGCCCTCACCACCCCTCGTCCTAAGCAACTACTAACTTCTGTTTCACTTATTCAGGGAATTTCCTATCACAGGAATCCTAGAATATGGGATCTTTTGTGACTGGCTCCTTCGCCCTTAATGTTTCCAGGGCTCATCTGTGTTGTAGCATACAGCACTCCTTCGCCTTTTTGATGGCCGAGTAAGAGTCCACTGTGTGGACATACCTCATTTTGTTTATCGGAGAGGGGCACTGGGTTAGGAACAACCCTGCTGCGAACCTACACACACCAGTGTCAGCGTGGACATCCGTTTCTGTTTCTCTTGGGTGTGCCCACGGAGTGGGCTGCTGCAACAGATGGGAACTCTGGGTGTACACCTCAGGATTCCGAGCAAGGAAGTGACACGACCCAAGTTACATTGGAGGGCTACTCTGATGGCTGAACAAGAAAGGCCTGAAAGGAACAGGACTGGTGTGAGGAGAGACTAAGAAGCCATGAGAAGACAGCGCAGGAGGAGGAGCTGGCCGATGAGGCAGAGGCTCAGACACCCGGCAGACAGGAGGGGGGTCTGGCTCTGCGCGGGGGCCCAGCTCTGCACCATTCTGTGGGTTGTTCCCAACACCCCCCCACCCCAAGGTGAACCGCCCAACTCCAGTGGCTGTAGGAATCAACCACAGGAGAATGACGCCCACATTTTGATTGCCAGACAGCTTCTCTCTTGAGTTGGATACCAGTGAGCTTTGCCTCTGTTTGGAAATTGGGAGAAATCTCCCAGACTACCAAATTCAAAATATGATCTTTGTCTTTCTGCAGATCTCCCCTAGCTGGGTCTTCCCTCTGCTGTCAACAGGCCCTCGTACCCCATCCATGAAAGGCACTGGGCCCGTGTCCCATGCCCAGACGGGGCTGTAACAGCCTTCTGGGGTTAAGAGGGAGGTGTGCCACTCACCATTCTCCACCTTGGTGCGGAGCTTGCCTTGCTTGGGGTTCTCAAAGACAGGGTAGTGGCGGGAGTCTGTGCTCTCTACAGCCCGGTCGCTGCAGGACTTGTCAAAGAGGGCGCCATCCCCACATGGGGCCGTGCTGCAAAACAGGGTCTCCGTTAAAACGCACCCGTGCAGAACCTTCTCTCCACGTTCCTGGGGCTCAAAAACAGGCAGATGAGGGGCCGGGGGGGGGGGGGGAGCTGAGGAGCTTTTTCTGAAGCTAGTGGAGATGGGCAGCAGTGGAGGCGAGGGTTGCTCCTCACCAGGGCATGCACCTCAAACAGAACTGGAGAGGCCTAATGAATAAGCCTCCTTATGAGGCAGCAGAGCATCTGACACCCGGGCCCAGAGCCTGGGCAGGCCAGTTCTGGTGGCAACACAGACTGTGCAGACCTGATGTAGAGATGGAACGACACGGTCTTTTTAATTTGCAGCTTTTCTCCTCCCTTGGCAGGCTCAAATATACTATCCTTGGCAGTCTGGGGGTTGTATTTCATTAACTCACTGTAGAGAAACCTGTAAGGAGAAAAGCTGGTTAAGACAGGCTTGATTTTGGAAAGGCAGTTGCTTCTACAATCTGACCTTGAGTAAGGAAAAACAGGCCCCACATGAGGAAAAACCTTGAAGCTTCAGACCCCGTGCAGTTTCTCACGTTGAAAGAAGTATCGGAAACTCTCCATGGGAGACCTCAGCACTTCTTAGAGCAAAGTTTGCCTTTAAGTTCTTACTTAAAGACCAGTTTTACTTCTGTCCAGGGCTCCTCTCTGTGGTGCTTACAGGGGGCTGGGGCAGAATAAATGGATGCCAAGATGGGCGGCGGCTAGGGCTGCTCCCTGAGCCGGGCCCTTCATCAATTACAGAACAGGCGAAGCTGGCAGGGCAGTGGGTTGTTTGCGGATCCCCGTGGAGCTAGGACTTTCTCACCCCAAAGCCCCAAGGACCAAGAAGTCATTTTGTGTTTTTTAAAAAAGGGACTGGAGCAGCACTGGCAGAAATGGGAGAGCACTTGAGAGCAGGCTGAGCAGCGGGATGCAGCCTAGGTCACAGAAGAGCTGGATTCTGTCAGGCAGGGTCAAGCAGACTGGCAAGGCAAAGGCCGAGATGGGGGTCAGTGGCCTGCCCGGCCGCAGGGTCCTGGGTGCTGCCAGCCGATCTCGCTGACCTGATGAAGCCTCTCCGGGAGATGATCTCTGCATGACAATCATTGACAGTTTCTCCCTTCAGGCTTAGAGAGTCTCCTTTCACACAGCGATTCCCTGGGAAGACAGCAGTGAAAAAGCAAATGTGAAATTTCCAAAGGAAAACAATGATGAGTAGTGTAGAGGCTGTCTGTTCTCAAACTCTGAAAGCAGAAACAGCCTCACTTTTTCAGATCCCGAGTCGAATATTCTTTCCCCAAGGAAACGAGAATTCATTTCCCATCCTGAATTAAGTGCTTCCTCCCAGTGTCAGCATTCGCGGGCCTCCCGCGCAGGCACCGGGAGGGGCGGAGGGCGGGGTAGCAAGTTTCAGAGCCCGCATACCTGTCCCCAGGCTGACCACGACACCCATGTCTTCCGAGTCTTTCTTCATGATGATGGCAGCCAGGATCTTGCGGCCAAGCAAGGATGGCTGGAAACTGTTGGTGAGAGCGTTGAAGCACCGGTGGCTCAGCATGGCTATCTGGTCGTGGAAGGTGCTGCCCGTGAGGGGGAGCTGTGGGCACAGAGCTGCGTTAGGGCCACAGAGCCTGGCCTGCATCCGCCGCGTCTCAGAGTGGACGGGGCTCGTGTTCTGCTCAACGCGGGAGACATTTCCCCCCTCTCACACCTAGCATCCCAGTTCTATGTTCTACTGAGGCTAGTATTAAAGCCTAGGAATACGTCACATAGCAAGCTAAGAGCCAACTCCACCCAGAGAGGAGTTAGCGGGACCCCCAAAAAAAGAGAGCACCAAAAGTAGACGTCTTAACTGTCTTTGGCTTTGCTTCTGGGGACCTTGAGAGGAGAAGCATAGTTCTTCTGAGACTGGCCCCTGTCACTGGGGTTACCTCTGTGAAACCCATGCGTTCTGCCTTCTCGTTCTCCCCAATCAAGACGCGGAGAGCCGCATCTGCCGCTTCCTGCTTGCCTTGCTTCTTGCTGTGTGCGCAGACGGCTGGGAACCAGCGACCCCCAACTTTTGCTTGGTAAACGAACCTTTGCGAAAGACGGAAGAAAGAAGAGCACCACACTTTGACAGCTGTTCTGGGGAAGGCTAACTTTGTTTATGATATGGCTGGTCCTGCCATACGTGGCCTGTCCATAACTGGCCACAGCTCTGTTTCTAAGGCAGTGTTTCTCCAGACTTCAAATGTTCACAAACCACAATGTGATTTTTGTTTGACTCAGACATCACTGTGATTATTATTTATTCAATATATTTTTTTCTAAATTGACTCCTTTTAAGTGTAAACATCTTAAAAGGAAACTTCATATCACTATAAATAAATGGAAAACTGGTATCACCATAAATTTAAGGTGTATATAAAAATAGGGTAGTGGGGGCTTCCTGATGGTACAAGGAGTGAAGCACTATGAAGCTCTCTGCAGCTACTGCAGCAGGAGTTCGATCCCCGGCCAGGGAGCTGACCCACATGACACAGCAGACCTCTCCTGTCTTGTCCACTGCCCCCCTCAGCAGTGTCTTTCACTCGATCTGCCTGTTCTGCTCCCAACTTGGTCTCTGGTGAATCCCGCCCCTGCCCCTCTCCCCACACACCTCTGGACTGCCCCAGTTCTTGTATGCACAAATAATAGATCAATCTTTTAAAAAAATAAAAATAAATAGGATAAAAGCCTGTTAATAAATTCTAACTAGATATGACTGTCTGCAAAGACATTAGACCTGTCTTTATTAGAAGACGAGTGAGTAGTAGAAAGGGTTTAAAGCCATACTGACATCAGACATGCACTTTCTGCTGAGGCAGAGATGATAAGGGAACACCGTTCTTCCTACATGAACGACTGCTAATGCTGTCTGATTTTTAAAGTATCTGATTCCATATGCTCATTCAATTCCTGATTAGCTCAATAGAATTTACCCTGGAAAGGTCAGAATTTCAAGATCTGCCTAAGATCAGGGAACCAAGCTTTTGTCAGGAGTCATTTTTGATTCCTGGGACCCTTGAGCTGGCTCTGGGGGAAGGGATTGTCTGCGGGACATGTGAGCTCTGCTGATGGTCCAGGAACACCAGAGGCACAGCCGAGTGGGCCACAAACACAGTGGAGTAAAACAGAAGGGACAAATGGCTTGAGTGTCGACCATACCAGGCTCAGGTGTCCTGCTCTCCACTGCTGGGGAACGAGGCTTTGAATCTGTCAGCTGCATGCGGAAAGTCTTAGGGTCAAGACTGATCAGTTTAGGCATCTGTTTTAATCAGTCACACTACTTATCCTAAGCAGCTACATGCCTTCATCCCTTTCTTCACTTGATGCCTGCAAGTTCATGCAAGACCAGTGGCCTAAAATCCAGGGAAGGAGCGGGAGAGTGGCATGGAAGACAGTGGAAAGGGGGTGGGGCCAAGCTGTGCAGGATCTTTGCTTAGAAATCTAGTTTTATTTTATTAAAGATTTATTTATTTATGTATACAAATACTGGGGTGCAGGCCAGAGGTGCGGGGGGGGGGTGAGAGTACAGATTCTCTCTCTCTGGGTGGATTCACCAGAGACAGAGTGGGGAGCAGAACAGACAGGCTGAGTGAAATACACCATGTAGGGGAGCAGTGGGCAAGACAAGAGAGGTCTGCTGCACCATGGGGGTCGCCTCCCTGGCCAGGGATGGAACTCAGGCTGCAGTGGCTGTGGACAGCTTCATAGTGCTGTGCTTCATAGTGCTGTGCTCTAACCTCTTGCACCACCAGGGAGAACCAGATCCACTGTTTTATAACTATTCTTTGATATCACTCCTCCTGCACTTCACTCCTCCAAATAGGCATCAAGTAAGATCTTCCATTCTTTATGTGAATACTGATTCATATCTGGCCCCTGTACCACAAATATGTGTGGAATGAATGAAATTCCTAGACCAGGCGGCTACTTCTTTAGGTGAGCAAAGACAGTCGCTTAGCCCAGCATGCTGACACTGGTGGTGGAAAGAAATGGAAGGGACCGGGCAGATCTGTAGGTAGAATAAACAGAACTTAAGGAAGGTTTGTTTGAGATGAAGGGATAAGACGACAATCCCCAGCTTTGGGTTGAGCTGGGAGGTAGCTAGGTGGACAATGGCGTTGTTTACTGAAATGAGAAAGACCAGGGAAAAGGAGCTTAAGGGGATAAATCAAGTCCAGAGTTCTGCTGTGGGCAATCCATGTCAGAGATGCCTATCCATGTGTCCATGTCTGCTCGTGAAGCAGGCAGTCTGGCAGAGGAATCAGGTACTCCATAAAGGTCTGGGCTAGCGATACAAACTTGGGACTCTCCAGCCTTCAGATATTAAAAGTCTTGAAATCAGTTTATTGTGACGAGCAGAAAGAAAAAAAGCAGCCTCAGCATAATTCACGTTAAGGACGAAATGTGTTACTTTATTAGATGATAAATGTAGCTTCTCAATCAGTATTCTATTACTCTGTGCAACCTTCAGGACTTCCCAGGGGGCCTGGGGGAACGTGTGCACATCGTGCTGTGGTTATGTGTCTGTGGTACATTGTGAGGCAGGGATATTTCATGTCTTCAGTCTAAGTCATAAGAAGCTCTTACATTCTGAGCGAATAGCTAACTTGCAGTTCTAGGAAGGATTCGAGAGAAGATTTTTCAGAAGAGAAAGAGGTCTTGCACGGAACCTACTTCACACCGGGTGATGCTAACAATGGGGAGGGCTCACTGAGAGGACTGCACTAGCAGAAGAGCTGGAGGGCTCAGCTCTGCTCCTTCTCAGATGGCTGTATCCCCGGGCACATACTCACTGGCCCGAGGCACCCCAAGCGTGGCCTGCCACAGGGAGATGGGAAGAGGGCCTTTTCTGTTTTTTCCAGGTACAGGGCTCTAAAATGAGTCAAGCTGACCAAAGGGTTAATTTATTACCTTAAATGTTGCCACATATCCATAAAGAGTAACAAGCAAAAGATAATGGACAAGGACAAGCATGAGGAGTTCACAGAAAAGGGAATCCAAATAACAGACAAACATGAATAGGATGATATTACTTACTATGAAGACAAACTTTAAGTAACATAATTTGATGAGCTTTTCTCCTTAATGAATTTTTTAAATCAAAAAGTTGGATATCACACAAACAAAAATTCAAACTGTTAAGGGTATATAATGAAAAGTGTCCTTGCCAGCAAAAACTATTGCAGTTGAGTCTTTCTCAACCCTTCAAGAAAATATCCTATGCATTTGCATTTGTAAGTATGCTACTTACATCCTGTCTCACTTGACAACTTGCTATTTCATTAACAATACATGAGACCATTTCCCACAAGATCATGCATTGCTTAACAAAAGGGAATATATTCAGGGAAATTCGTTGGTAAGTGATTTCACTGTGTGACTATTAAAGAGTACAACTGCACAGCCCTAGGCGGGACATTACACCAACCTGTATGGTATCACTTATTGGGCCCTGATATCACCGTATGTGTGCTCTGTCACTGACCAAAACATCATTAAACATACGGCTGTAGGTGTGTCTTACTCCTTTATATGGCTGTATAATAGTCCCTAGTGTGGATGTACCCCAGTTTACTTAACCACTCTGCAAATGATGGAACTTTAGTCTCTTTCAAGTCTTCGACTATTAGAAACAGTGCTGCCATGAAAACCTCTGCACTCATGTCCCCTACACACAGGAAAGCGCGCACCTGTGTGTACATGAGAATGTGTAGAGGTGGCGCTCACACTAAGTTGAAGGCTTTGCTGGCCATATCTGCCCTTGACTACAAAGTGAAGAATTAAATCACTCCTGCTAACAATAACAAAGTATAAATTTAAGTTACTATATGTGAGGTTGAACCCTTTTCGTTTATTAAAAATTATGTTTCTCATATAATAATAAACATGTTATTTTAAAAAATTGTTTCTCTTTCTATGTACAGAAAATACAAATTACAAAAAAAAACATTTTTTTGTAGATTTGAAATGAACTATTTTTCTGTAGATTAGAAAAAAAATTACATATTTTAGAAACTAATCCTTGTGCTGTTGTGTGTTGCACATGCTTTTTCTTTCAAGTGGTCTTTTTACCACACACTAATTTTTTATAGTCACATTCCTGTGTTTTCCCCTTATGAATTTAGTGTTTTGTGTCCTTATTAGAAAGGCTTTCCTCCACTTCCAAATTCTAAAATAAATCATACTTTTTAATCTAGTGATTTTATAATTTTGTTTATTGTTATATAAATTCTGGATCTAGGCCCTCCCTGATGGGGCAAAGGGTTAGGACTCTGCACTGCAAGCTAGCCATAGCTGCTTCAGCCGCTTCAGTGCGAGTTCGAGACCCCGCCCCGGAGGTGACCCACACTGTGCAGCAGACCTCTCCTGTCTTGCCCAACAGTAGTGTACTGCCTGTTCTGCTTCCCACTGTCTCTGGTGAATCCTCTCACAGACCCTGCACCTCTGGCCTATACCCCAGTTCTGTGTGCATAAATAAATAAATCTTTTTAAAAATTCTGGATCTAGTGGAATTTAGGTGTAGAGAAAGAAACACCCAGCATTTTTCTTTTTAAAGCTAATTAGCAGTTTCAATACCAACACCAAGTCATTTACTGTATCTTCATCGATTTGAAGCCTTATCTTTTAATGTAACATTCCCATTCATGTCTGTCTACTTTTATGAGCTCTGTTGTTATCTTTTATAGATCCACATGCGAATATATCATTTTAGCATTTGCTATGCCAGAACACCCATGACTCATCTTATTCAGAGTTCCCACCCATTCATTCTTCTTGCATGTTTAATTTTCATATGAACTTCAGAATCAAAATTTTTAGTTCTAAAATAAAGACATGTCTTCTGCAGTGTTTTTGGTGGGATCACATTAAATATGAAAATTATGGCTGGGAACAACTGCTGTCATTCAATTAGACTTTTCTAATAACATAATACTTAACCAAGTTTTCCTTTATGTCCTTCAGCAGAATCTTACTTAATATAGAGCTTCCTACTTCCTATCAGAAATGTGTACAAGTTACTTCTTTTCTGAGTCACTATTGTATGTATTTTCTTCTTTATTTTCTAATTGCTTGATCTGAATATATTATATTTCAATCCTCTGCCTTCTCAGTATTTCTTCAATTTTCTCTTGAGTAGCCCAGGTAAACAAGCATACTATCTGTAAATAATGATAGCTTTACCTTTCCTTTCCTCTCTTTATACAAGTTCTAAAAGCAACTGCAATCGCTAGTAATTCCCGAATGACGATAAATAATGATGACACTGGTATCCACATCTCCCCGCTGACTTTAATGGGAAAAGTTCTAGGTTCAACATTAGTAAGCTGCTTGCTTCTGACTCCAGACATAGACTGTTATCATGCTCAGGAGATACCTGATAATTTCTATTTTATTGACAGTGTGGCTTAAAAAAAAAATATTTAGGCCCTCCCTGCAGGCGCAGCGGGTTAAAGCGCAGCACTGAGAAACTTAAGCCACTTCCACATGAGTTCGATCCCCACCTGCCCCAGAGGAGATCCATATGGCGAGGCAGACCTCCCCTGACCCGCCCACTGCTCCCCTCAGCAGTGTACTTTGTTGATCTGCCTGTTCTGCTCCCCACTGTCTCTGGTGAATCCTCTCAC